GACGCGCGATTGGCAAGAGCCACAATTCGTCCTGGGAGAACTGAACTGAACTAAACTGAACTTAGTTTCTTTTATCGTACCACAAACGGAGAGTTAATACATGAGCGTAACTTTCAAATAGGTTCTCCGGTTAGTCTTTTGTAGGTGTTTCTCAATTTTAGGCACAGTTAAGGGCACATTTAAGCAAATTTTCAGTCTTCTGTATCCTCAAAAATGCAAATCGGTTAGCTTTTCCTCGCCGTTACTAGATATGCCGCCAATCCTGTTACCTTACTTGACCTGACCTAACTTCAAAAGGTCCGCGGGGTTAGAAATTTGGATTCGAGCAACCTGCTTCAGCAATCGACTCAAAATAGACGAAGGGATAGCGCGAATTCTGCATCGAGTTTAACCGAAGTAGAGGAAGACTCAATATATGAAGATATTACTGCCTGCAGTCGCAGATCAGCACCAGGGAGCCACGACTAAAACGGTCATACCGCGGGGCTATATTGAAGGAAAACTGGAGGGATTTGTAGTTGACTGTATCGAAACTATCGGTGAGACAACCTTTCTAGTACACTATTCATTGTTTTGGCGAGTACCATATCGACTGACAACCTTAGCCGTTAAATTTCGCTTGTTTAGCTCTTGTTTTCCTCCTGCTTAGCACTTAAGTTCACAATATGAGAAGAACTAGCTCTGGTATATCGCACAAACATGGCTCTGCCGACGCTGGGGCTCTGTTTCAGTAGTCGAGTTCCCCTGTGAGAGAGGGTCCAGGATGGCATCAGATGGCTGAGAGACCTGGTATCACCCTCAGTGTAGTACTCTGTGCTCTAAGGCGTTGGAACCGTACGGAATCCACAGGTTCCTACAGTGGTTTTGCCCTAATTGTGAGCATGCGTGCAAGAGTAGATCGAACAACTCGCCCCCATTGTCCCTGACTGAGATTAAGTCCCCTAAGGAGCCCGCACGTAAAAGACGAAAACAGGGTTGCTGACACGCTCGGCGAACAAACAGGTATAGAGGACCCTGTGGTACCCCAGGTAGCCAGTGTTAAGAGGGACGAGAGGNCTAAAACCGGCGGCAGGCTCCATTGCATTACGAGCGTATATGAACAGGGAGCTTCAGAAGGTTATGGGTGCCATCCAGGAACAAGAGGAAGAATTGAAAAGAGTTCAGAAAGTGGCAGATAAGCTCGCAAGTGCGGTAGGAAGTTTGGCCAAACAAGCCGAACTGGCTATGGGACGTAACCGCAATGNGTTCTCGTCGAATTCGGTAACTCGAGGTACAGGGATATGTTCTTGGCTGCAAAAGCCAAGATCCATGCTAACACAAATTCCCGGGGAAGGATAACCGGATAATTTGATGCGGAAGAATGACACAGGCATCACATGCAGATCATCCTCCTCGACAGAAGCGGGAAAGTGTCAGCGTCAGGGACCAGCATCACCCGTGATACACTTGCCATTGAATGACTTGAGCCCGATCCTCCAAAGATCACCGATAGGCTGCACCACACCGTGGAATACAGTGGTCGAGAACGGCATACTTAGTAGGGGCGTCAACTGTGAACCCCCGCGGGACGATAAACAAAAAACAGGGTGAGCACTCGAGCGTGACGCTCGAGTGCACAACCCCCCCCCCCCCT